GGAGTGTAAAGATTTGGAAAACTTGCAGCCTGGCCATGTGGTAGAGAAGCAGAGAGCATGCAATGGTGCAGCCCAGTGACCCTTAGCTAAGAAGATTAGTACAAAGAAAGGGATCATCAAGAAAAGGGGGAAATGCCCTGAAGGCTTTGCCGAAGCCTCTGGGGCCAACCCTTCCATTTCAGGCCCCAAATCCTAGGAGACAAAATGGCCACGGGGAACAGGCCTGAGGCACCCTCCACGGGCTCGATGCCCAGGGCCACCTTGAGAAGGTGCTTCCAGCACCAGCACCCCAGCTGCTTTGGCTGCTCCAGCTGTGGTTAACTTGGCCCCAGGTGTGGCTGGACATGCAGCTTTGGAAGAAGATACAAGCTGGACGTCTTGGCAGCATCCACACGGTGTTAGGTCTGCAGGCTGGCAGAATGCCAGAGCTGGGAAGGCTTGGGAGCCTCCACCCAGATTTCAAAGCATGTATGGAAAAATTTGGGGGCCCAGGAAGAGATCTGTTGCGGGGGTGGAGTCACCACAGACAACCTTCACTAGAGCAATGCTAAGTGGAAACGTGGGGTCAGAGTTGCAACAGAGAAACCCCATCAGAGCCATGTCTAGTGGAGCCATGAGAGCAGGACAGCCATGGAGACCCCAGACCTATGGAGCTACCAAAGTGGAATGCCAGTCTGGGCGAGCTGAAGTGTGGTCTGAGACCAGGAAAGCCATAGGAGCGGAGCTGCCCAAGGACTTGGGGAACCAACCCCCACACGAGCGTGCAGACGAGGTCAGACATGGAGTCAAGGTATCTGATTCGCCAGCCTTGAGATTTAATGCCTGCCCTGATGGATTTCAGACTTGTTTAAGACCTGTTACCCCTTTCTTTTGGTTTATTTCTTCCTTTTGGAATGAGTATATGTACCCTATGCTTGTCCCACCATTGTATCTTGGAAGTAGATAACTTATATTGGTTTCACAGATGGGACTTTGAACTTTGAATTCTTGAGTTGAAACAAGTTAAGACTTTGGGGATGAAATGAATACATCTACATGTGAAAAGGACATGAGTTTTGGGTCGCCAGGGGAGGAATGTAGTGGATTGAATTATGTGCCCCCAAAACTCCCTGAAGCTTGAATTGTGTCCCCCCACTGGGGGTTAATTAGAAACTTAACCCCCACTGTGACTGTTAAGAGGGTGGGAAATGCTATTACGGTAGTTAAAAGGTGGAGCCTTGAAGAGGTGATTGGATTGTAGGGCGATGCTGTAGTGAATGGCTTAAAAATGGTGGTCAGGGGTGTGGTTCTGAGGGTTTTAAAAGAA